TAACAAAATATGGTTTTAATCAGCAATTGATTTAGTAGGAAAGGCTTAAGACATCAACATGAAACTTTCACCATAGCTAGTACTTACTAATGTGCAAAATATGAAATGTGTGAATTACTGTCAACATGGCCATCTGGGAGTCGCGATGCGCACAAAAATTGATGACCATGATGCATAACGGTGCCTACAATGGGTACATTATTATTGATTAACATGAATTTTCTATGAAAATAATAAACACATTTATGGTACTTATTAATGGTATAACAAACATCATTCCATGTTTTATAGGTTCTTGGTTATATCGGGTCAAATATTGGTAAACCCTGTCTAAGTGCAATGTTTGGACATTTTAAGAAGATATTATATGCAAGCTACATTTGATATAAAAACATCATTAAACTCAGCATGAAAAAATGAGTAAATATTGAAAATTTCTGCCTGATACCTGTTTTAGGTTTTGAAATATTCACGTTCAAATATTGCGAAAATGTAAAAGTCACGTGAACTCTCGACAACCCTTGAAACTTTAAAAAATCATATCTCAGAAAGTTTTTGACAAAATGGTCTAAAAATTTCAGCAATTGCTTAACTTTGTATGTACTACAAGCCCTGAAAATTTCAGGAAGATCTGAGATGGTGTGGTGAACAATTGTTAAAATTCTGGTTGAGTTGATATGGAATGACTCTTTAACTAACACTTTACAAAAAGATTTTCTGCCCACATTTGCCCTCCCTCTCTGGTTGCCGCATGTTGTCAAAGATTGACATGACCAAATTTTAAAAATTTAACAAAAAAATTACTTCACAAAAGTATATATGTAATTTGCTTAAATTTTTTTTATTCAAGTCATTGTTTTTAGTAATTAAATAAATAACAAACACCTGCTACTAACACATTAATCAATTAATTTTAATTGACCACAAGTCATTGCGGGGTTGACCACAAACCGTTACAGCACATTGTAACAGTTTGTAGTCGAAATAAAATTAAATATAAAACCCACTTTTAATAACTAAAATTGATAAAATTTAAATGACAGTTTCATCATGATGAGGCGGCGAGATTTGTATTATAAACTTTTAAAGGCCAAGTGGGAAAAGAAGAATAATAGTATAGTAGATATTGAGGCTTACATTATTTTGAAGGGTTTGAATATATTGGATGAGATTAAAAAGTATTTTAATCTCATCCAATATATTTGAATGATCTTAGAAGGAAATGGAGGGAGAAACAGAACTAGGACACAGTTTGAGGCTAAGTATCAAAACTGGTTAGATGGTGATGTCAATCCTGTAGAGAATATTCAACCATCAGATCCACTTTTTAATCCTGGTAATTAAATAATAATTTATGTATATAATAATCATTTAGTGTTATATGAGGAGGGATCCTACAAAAACCAGACAAGTCCACTCATAACATTTTATGTGCATTCAGTGCCCCAAGCATTGTGGGCATGTTCTACACGTCTTCAAATAGGTCAGATGCCCATAGTCAAACAGGTCCTTGAAATAAAGCTTGATGAAATCGTTGATTTCTGCTAAATCAGTAAAAAATGTTTTATTTTTCTCATTTTCCTGTAATTTTTTCAGAGTGGACTCGCCTGGTTTTGCAGGTTCACTCCTCATGCCGTCTATGCAAATGTAATGTTGTCAACATCAAAATTTGAATGTTATATTTATTTTGTTAATATTTAAATGTTTACAGTTTTCTTCAACATGAATGGATTGGAAGTTGTATGAAATTATGCATCCTCAAAATTACTTTTTTAGATTTCAAAGACTACTCACCCACTCTTTTTGAGCAAGACTGAATAATAATTATTTAAATTCTTTTAAAGTATTGAGTATAAAAAAATTGTATTCAGATATCAAGTGCCATGATTATTATGACAGATGTAAAAATGAGTGTAAATCTCACCTCCGGCAACTCCTACCCAAGAAATTATAACTGAGTTTCTAATCATAAAAATATAATGCTCTTCTGGAAAGAAATCAATAAACTTTTTTAATGCCTCATTAATTTTCAAAATGAGAGAGACCTACAGTGGAATTTTCTTGTCGATCGTACTACACAAAGAAATGAAAATTGGAAGAGCTATGCAGCCAAAAATCCACAGATGAGCTGTTATCTGCTGTTATGATGCATCTCAAGATGGATGGAAGGTTAAAAGATGCACAGGGTTGCAGGAAATACTCAATAGTAAAGATGAGGAAGTAGTACAGCAGGGTGGTTGCTATAGTAATAATGAAGCACTTGCTCTGTTATTACAATGCAAATTATCCAAGAATGATTATCAAATATTGCGCCATGGAGGCAAGGAAAGAGGATAAAGCAAGATGTATCCCTTATATAATTTATTATGAGAGGCAAATGAGTACTGCATCCCTTTAATGGCAGTACAGAACAATCTGTTTATAAACAGAAAACTGAATATTGTACTCATGAACATTCTTCTGTTGAGGAAAGTCTATTGCTGACTGAGAAAAATTTATTCCTGACCTGAAGAAAGTCTATTCTTGGTACCACTTTATGTACTTGGTAATTACATTTTTTTTTAACATCTTCACTTCCAACGAGACTGGATGCAACCACTAATTAGAGTTACCACTAAGAGAAAAGATGAAGATTGTAAAGCAAGATAAGATTGACGGACGACTTAAAAGATTGCAAATTATATAAATCAGGAAAACAAGATGATGGAAGCAAATTCCAAAGAACTGATGTTAGAGGAAAAAAACTAGAGGAGTAAGAGTTTTTGGAGCACTTTGGAACAGTCAAAAAAAAAGGATGAGGCTTAATTGAATGATGAGTAACATAAGAATGAATTTTAGTAGTGAACAGTGCCTATTATAGTATTTGTAGAAAAAAGAAACAGAAGCAGTATTACAACGATGTGACAATGGTTGAAAGAAAAAAAAATGTATAATAAAAATACAAAATTATTAAATACACAAAATACTTTGTAAACAATGCATAAATTATTAAGTTTACTAATTCAGGTGGCCATTTAAATTTGAAAATGAAATTCCATGACTTTTCCATGACTTTTCATAATCTTTTACGATAAACCACTAACCACTATATTATTTAGTACTTGCCATGCACTAAACATTTAGTACAAAGTTTTAAAATCAAAAACTTTTTTCTTTTACTTCTCTGATAATCTATAATATACACTGCGAAAATATATTTTTCAAAAAGGACTTAGACTAGACATACTAGTACTTTTCTTTGCATCCTAAAAATATCAAAAGAAGGAAAAAATAAAGATCATTATAAAAAGATAAAGTGAATTTTCTATGACTTTTGATGAAAATTTAGGAATTCCATGACTTTTTCCATGACCAAATAAAATTCCATAACATTTCCGTGATTTCCATGACCAGTGGCCACCTTGTTATTACTTTATTGAATAAAGTAACAAATTAAATATAATGTTTACAATAAACCCATTTACTTAAATTACCAAAGAATATTATATGTAATTACATTTATATAAACATGCCTTTTTTTTATAAATCTTTTCAAACTTTTTCTAAAATTAATTTTATAAACACTTTTAATAGACAAAATTAGCGCAAAAACAAACGTTAAAAACAACTTAAATTTATCAGTGTAATAAGAAGTACTGGTTTCTATAAGCATAACATAAGAAGTAATTATTAAGCCAACATTTTTAAAAAGTAAATTTAAAAGGGGTTTTAAAAGCTTAAATATTTGTTTGAAATTTATAAAAATCATCAGACAAATATATATATATATATATATATATATATATATATATATATATATATATATATATATATTTAACTATAAATTTAAATTAACTAATTGCAAAGTTTAAATAATAATGATGAAAACCGGGCTACTTAATTTAAAAAAATGTAATGCTTTAGAGACTTTTAAAAAATGAATTAACTCAAAAAATAAATTTTATTAACGTAGCCGTGTGTCCAACTTTAGTTTTTGTTCAAAAAATAAAGTTTATATACAATATTGAATTTATTAATAATTTTGGAGCAATTAAAATGATTAGAAAATAAATGCACATAAAATATGTCGGACAAAATAAACGATAGATGTAGTTTTTTACCAGACAAGTGCCGCATAATATCCAATGTCTGGCACTTATTTCCAGCCCTGATATATATATATATATATATATATATATATATATATATATATATATATATATATATATATATATATATATATATATATATATATATATATATATTTCTAAAGTTTGACATATGAATTTACCCTTAGTAGTAAAAAATGACTCTCAACTACTTATTATGTTTAAAGATAAAATCAAAAACGCCTTATGTAGAAGCCATTAAATTTTATTGAGGAAACTAATAAAACTTAAAAAAAAAAACATAAAAACACTAAATAAAAAACTAAAATGTTTTAAAAACTTGTTCTTATTTTTATTTTTTTACTGTTTACATATATCAATTAATAAGTAGGTAGAACATGCGGGAGTGCAAACACATTAACTGAAAAATAGGTGAAATATTTAAGGAGTATTATTACATCGACTGAAAAATAGGTAAAACATGCAAAAAGACTGCTACATCTACTGACAAATAGGTAAACATTCCAGGAGTGCTGCTACATAGACTGACAAGTAGATACACATTCAATAAGTGCGGCTACATCGACTGAAAAGTAGGTAGAACATGCGAGGAGCGGTTCTACATCGAATGGGGATTTTGGTTAGAACAAGCTATCTATCAATAAAAAAAAACTTTTTAAAGTTTTTAAACTTTTTTCCGTCTTTTAAATTAATTGTTTTCAAAAAAAACATTCGCATTTTTAAAAAGTATTTAAAAACACTGAGATCAGTCTAAATTAAATACTTAATTTAGTCATTATCTAAATTAAGAGTTCGATTCAGTCGATGAATTGTTTCTATCAACAAACCATCTCATGAATTTTAACTTTGCTACTTAATGGATTTATTTCCATACTTATGAATTAAAATTACCTCGTCGGTGTGTATTAACTCGTGTCTTAACAAATGTGCCTTCTTTTTGAAAGTTAATCCACACGCATCAAACTTGCAGGGCCAACAACGATTTGGCTTTACATTTTCAGAGGTTTCATTAGTCGATTTGGTAGCCATTTTTAAAGTTTATGAAAATATACTGTAGCATCACGTTTTTGAAAATAAAAAAGCAAACAAAAAGACGTGAAGGCCACGGAATTCTTTATAACGTACATTAGGGTGTCCCAAAAAAAAAAAAAAGTTTTCAATACTTAACTGTTTTCAATACTTACCTCCTTATTCGGTTCCAGTAGACCACCATAAAAATTTTTGGGCCCATATTTATTGTTTTGCTGAAAAAAGTGTTTTTCAAAAAATATATATAAACTTTAATGAGGTTGCAAAGTCTTTTTGCATTTTATGGTTGAAACTAACTTTGGTACTTAATTATATATATTATCCGCCTTCTAAAAAACAAAAACTTCCACATATCATGCCAGATCTTTTAATCGACAATATTGCTTTAAAAAGGGAAAAAGTTACAAAGTTTCTTGGAATGACGAAATTACATTGGATCAACTGACGAAAATTTGTCCTGGAGGTATCATATCAATGCTACTTCCACAAAAATTGCAAAATGGATCGGAATTCTTTATAAAGCAAGAAATATATTAAGTAAACATCAGTTAACACAATTGTATTATTCATTTATTAATTGTCGTATAAACTATGCATATAGTATATGGGAAAGCACCCATAAGACAAAGCTTAAATCTCTTTACCTTCGTCAGAAACACGCAGTTTAACAAATTTTAAAAATCGGTTTTCTCACACAAAACAACTTTTAAAGAAATGAATATTTTGAATGTGTACCAACTAAATGTTTTAATTATTTTGTGCTTTATGTTTAAATGTAGAGAAAATATGTCACCAACTGTATTTAAAAATGTTTATAATTTGAAACCGAAAAACAAATATAATCTTCGCACTAATAACAATCTTATTGCCCCCTTTTGCCAACAAAAAAAAGACCAGTTTTTTGTTTCTTATCGAGAACCTTATCTCTGGAACAAAATAGTTTTACTAAATTTTGATATTTCTAATAAAATGGCTTATGCTTCATTTAAACAGAAACTTATAATGATTATCCTTTTATTGGAAAATATTCTCATCTATTTTTAACTATTTTTGTATATTGTTTTGTTTTAGACTAATAATTACTAAGTTTTTTATAAAAAGATATATTATTTCATTACGAACAGTTTATTTTTAATTAAGAAAAATTTTAAAAAGTGTAAACGTGTTATGTTTTTATAGGGCTTCATGATAAGATCCTCGTGATCTTCTAAAAGCCCTGCCGTTGTTGCTGCCAAATGTAAATGTAAATATATATTCTCTTATGGTTATTATAATTATACATATATACATACAATTTTAACTATATTATCTGGTTATTGTAACTATTTGAAAAAAAAAAAAAAAAAAAAAAAAACTTCAACAATAATCAATATTTATTATGAAATAGTCAAGTTAATTTTAATCACCCAGTGCATTAATTCTGACAAAATAGTTGCTAAACTTACTGATAATTTAAACAAATTTCATGATTATTATATTTTTTATAATAACTGCATAGTTTTGAAATGTTTTTTAAAATAAAATACAACGGAATAAATAAAAAATAGGTAGTGCAAGAAAATAATAAAAATTAAGGAGATAAAAAGAAAATACATAAAAATTAGGTAGTGTATCTAAATTTTTTTGAAAAATAGTTTTTTTAAAAACAAAAGTATAGCGATAAAGTGCTTTTTTTTTAAATCTGGTTTAGTGGCGCGTTTAGACACTTTCCCCAAGTTGTTTAAAACCCTCATCATAGAGTCTTGGAACCTGTTTTCGGAATGCGTCCTGCAAATGAAATCCTGTACCAATTTGATGTGTTTTGTTATTAACAACTGCTAATTGAAGTACACTGGACACAAATGTCTTGAAAGATCTATTGTTGAGGTTTTTCTCCAAACTTGACATGTCTTTTTCTTTCTATGAGAGAATTTGGTTATACAAAGATGAACAAAAAAGAGATAAGACTCCTGAGAAACAAAGTTTATAGCTTTGTATAGCTTTTAATAGCTTTGAGAGGGGAAAAACTTGTGTAAAAGGTTCTGAATGTTCTTTTTCAAAACTGTTAATATCTGAAACATTTTTAATTTTTTTTGGTGTGCTAAAATGTCCTTTCGGTTTTATCAAAGAGTGCCGCGTAAGAACATTTGAAATGAAGTTCATGCCTCCTCCTTGCCGTTGTTATAAAACTTACCTAGAGATAGCGTTGAACCACGGACCTTTAACTTCTGAGGCAAGCGCGCTAACCACTGCGATACGGCTGTTCTAAATATCATATTTTAACAATTCCACAGGAATATTCATTCTCTCTTTCTACTCTATGAGCCAGTCATCCAAAGCAAGGGTAACACAATGTGGTGTAAAATACCAAGCGTGTCTGAGAATACTAGCCCAGCCAGCACACTTAGATTGGGCCAACGTATGTAAAACTATTGCGAATGTTTGCTCTTTTTTCCAATGCAAAACCAATGTTTATCCAATTTCATTTGATTAATGATAAAATTATTACCGACGGAGCTAAAAACATCTAGCAAATTTACATTACGTAATTATATGATAATGCTAGTACCGATTCTTTCGCTTGATCATCGAAACAAAAATCATGTTTTTGTTGGTTGTGGTTTGATATTTTAATAATCACAAGATTTATTTAAGTTATATAATTTTGCAATAGTAATGTTTGGTCGCATATATTGTATCAACGTTAGGTTTAGTTCGTAAAAACAATCAACTTTTTGCAATGTATTTACATATTTTGGATCAACTTTGATTTATATACATTGAATCAACGTGGAAATATATACATTGGATCAACGTTGCGTTTAGATCGTAAAAACAATCAACTTTTTGCGATGTTTTTACATACATTGGATCAACGTTGATTTATATACATTGAATCAACGTCGAAATATATACATTGGATTAACGTTGGGTTTAGATCGTAAAACAATCAAGTTTTTACATACGGTGGACCAATGTAAATGCCAGATATTTTTGGTTTCGTCGGTAATAATTTTATCATTAACCAAATGACATTGGATCAATATTGGTTTTGCATTAGAAAAAAGAGCCAACGTTCGCAATGGTTTTACATACGTTGGCCCAATGTAAGTGTGCTAGCTGGGTAGCTGGGTTGGCAATCTTTTTATACTTTTTGGAGTAAAATGGGTCAATCATGGTTTGCGTTGAAATCTTAAATGTATAATCATTTAATGGAGCCTGAGCTGCCATTAGGTTTTTCAGAAAGAACAAACATTGAAAGATCACAATATAATCTGTTGTATCCAGGGGCGGAATTAGGGTACCTGGTGCCAGAGGCACAAATAATTTGGGGGTCATTTTGATTAAAGATAAACTAATATGTGTAAAGCATTTAATATTTCAGTCATGTTTTTAAAAATTAGAGTGACATTTTCTGGATTTTTGTCTAGCAAATTGCTCAGCAATGTCATCAAATAAGAGTTTACTAATCACCTCACTTTTATAACATATCAAAGAAAGCATTTCGAGGCGCTCTTAATTAAATCTAGTAAAGCATATTTTTTTTCACGATTTAATTGCGAATTTCTGCCTTATGTACAGTTTGCCACAATTAGGCTGAGGTAAATTCCTAAAGCTACTACATCATTTAGAAAAGTTTCTGCCAAACCATCGTTGAGCAAAATGTGGTGCATCAACAACTCCTTGCTTGTTTTCTTATCATCAGAATTCATTTCTATGACTGCATAAGACCAAAATTGAACCATTTACTCTCCCAAGATGACTTCAATATCATCTGATTAATGTGCTGCTAAAGTATCACAACGTTTTATAACTTCCATACAAGTCAAAATTTGCAAATTGTTTATGAACCCAATCCTGCTGGCCATATTTGAATATGCGGCATATCGGTGAGCCAATACTGCAATTGATCAATAATAGCAGGAGAACTTCTCCAGAAGTACCCTCATCGTGACTTTCTCTTTCTGACTTTTTATACTCTTATATACTTCATACTTCACTTTTTATACTCTTATATACTTCATACTTCTTTTATGAACTTCACATATGGATAATGCTTTTCCATATTTCTCAAATTTATCCAATTCTGTCAAACATCTCAACCAATGAAAATACTCAGACAATGAATGCAATAAACCAACAGCTTTTTTCAAATCTAAAGTGGTTCCTTGTAAAGCTGTTCTTGTTTTATTGAATCTTTGCAGTATCTTGTCTCAAGAGACAGTCAAATTACTAATTTCCAATTCACTAAGACGTTTTGTTACTCCAATTGCCTCTTGTTGCGTTTCACCAGTTACGTTCATCAGTTGTAATGATATCTAGAGCAGATAAAGTTAGGTTAGGTTTATTCATTCATGGTCAAAAATAAATTTACAAATTTTTTTTTTGACAAAGAGCGGCGTACCAAGCCTCTCTGTTATGAAAACACAGTTTTTCAATTTCAGCTTGAGTGAAGATGCGGTACCAGAGAAAGTTCGTGTTTAAAATTGCTCAAGTTCTTTGCGTCCACCGCATTTTGGGTTAAAGAATTCTATCATCTTACAATGCGGTTGGTGAAAAAGTTGCTTCTTTCAGCACAGTTTCAGATAAGTTGTGCTCTTTAGTGTATCCACGCGGCTAAAAACTATACTTTGAAGATTCCATGTTAGGTTGAAGTTGAGGGACGTGAAAGTTAACTTTATCAATTTTCGTCATGATTTTATATTGTTCGATAAGGTCTCCTTTTTCTCGACGTTCAGTTAGTGTTATCAGGGTAAGGCTTGAGTATACGAAAGGCGTTTAAAGGAGGCAATACGTTTTGTGGCTTGGTATTGAACTTGCTCAAGTTTGGCAATGTCTTGAGCTAAAAACGGTGACCAGGCCTGTACTGCGAATTCTAGGCGTTGGCGAACGTACGAAATATACAGTGTGCGTCATAATGCAGAACTTCGACTTCGAAAAGCCTTCTTGAGCCTGCCAAGCATTTGGTTACCAGCTGATGCAGTCGCACAGACTTGTTTTTTAACTTTTAGATCGCTCGTT